GAGAGAGAGAGAGAGAGAGAGATCAGATTGTGAGCTGGCACAGTGAAGTGGTTGAGTTTTGGATTACAACTCTGGAGACCAGGGTTCAAATCTCTGCTTAGCCATGGAAACCCACTTGGCCATAGAAACCTTGGGCAATTATTTCAGCCTCCAAAGAAGGCAAAGGCAAAGCAACTCTGAAGAAATCTTGCTAAGACAACCCTATGTTAGAGTTGCCTTTGGGTCATCATAAGTCAGAAACAACTTGAAGCCACAACAACAACAACAAAATCAATTATTTCCCTTTGGAAATTTATTTCCCTGTCCTCAGGCATACAATCTAAATGGGACAAGATACACAAGGATCTCTTCTCTCCCTCTGAGGCCACAGTAGTGGCAGATGAAATGGAGGCAGGGCCTTTCATCAGCTGCTGGCTCCAAGGCACAGTGGAGCAGTGCCTGACTGCCCTTCTCTCCATGCCAGTGTTTTTCTCAGAAACAGATGCCTTTTTGGACCTCAAAGTCCAAATTTTAATTTGAAACAACTTGATAAGAACAACATTGTATGATGCATCTGAAAATTCTGAAATATTTTTTTCTACACTGAAAAACCCATTTATCCTTCACCTCCCAGAAATGTTTGATTGTAGCATGCTTCTCTTTTCTGTTTTATTTTCTACATAAGCAAATCCAAAGCTATAACAAGAGCAAAATTGTATAATTAGTCTAATCTTCATTATCCATCTCATGAAACTATGCAGTTAAAACAAATAGCATTTCTTACAGTTTAAAATATTTTGTGTTCAAGATTCTAACAATTCTTAACTGCCTTCTTATTATCATTGTCTTTTTTTAAAAGGAAATACCAGAGAAAAATATGTAATTAGAAGGCTCAGTTAGACCTAAGTAGGTAGCCTGTGTGTTCAATTTTATTTATTTATCATAATTTTAGTCCACAAAAAAAATTCTCTTGCCTCATAATCAATACAAAAGAAGCAAAAGGCTATACACAATAAACAGAATATGCTATCAATCTGATGGAGGAAGTTAAGCCAACACTTGCACATGCCTGTCACCCCTATTAACTGCTATGAACCAATCTGCAATTGGGTTTTCAAACACAACACAATCACTACCAAAAGATAAACTGCCTACAATACACTAGCTTCAGGAGAAAGACTTCAGATGTAGATTAACTGCTGCCTCCCACAGACTACAGAGATTTTGACAGGAACCACTAAGTTTGCTCCCCAGCCTTTACATGAAGTTTGCATTACTGTAAGTCAGAGGTAGGCAACCTTTCTCCTTTAATGGCCGAGGGACTTCAGCTCCCAGAATCCCAGGAGCTATTGGCCAACATGGGACTATTGGCCAACATGGCTGAGGCTTCTGGGAGCTGAAGTCCCTCGGCCCTTAAAAGGGACAGGTTGCCTACCCCTGCTGTAAGTCATGAATGACCATTTTGGTCTTGCCAAAAAAATAGAGACTCAGAGCCTTTACAGACTGCCAGAAATAGTGCAAGTTGAGGCCAATTTAACTGTCCTGCTCGGTGTTAGGGAATCATGGGAATTGTATTTTTTTTTTCTGAGATATTGAGCCTTCTCTGCCAGAGAGCTCTGGTACCACAATAAACTACAGTTTCCATGATTCCTTAGCACTGAGCTGGGACAGTTAAAGTGGCCTCAATTTGCACTATTTCTGGCAGTCTGTAAAGGCCCTCAGTAAGCAAGGAGATACCACAGTATGGTCATATGAATTTTGTGTTCAAGATTCTAACAATTCTTAGCTGGCTTCTTATTATTGCTTATTATTAATTTTTAAAAGGAATTGTTAGAATCTTGAACACAGCCGCTCTGGGTCCCAGTTCTGGAAAAGAGCATGATACAAAGAAGAAGAAGCTGCTGTAACTTCTAGAACTTTATTTCAAAACAGAGGGATCATTTATTACTGTTCCGGCCCGGGCCCCCCCACTTACCGGCCCCCGCCGACCCCTGCCGCCGCCACCTGCCACTGCCGCTGCGAGTTTTGGCCGCCACGAGTTTTGGCAAAACAAAATGGCAAACGCGTTGTGGCTGCCATTTTGGAAAACAAAATGACGGGAACGCAGTGGCAGCAGCAGCAGTGTGTGGCAGCAGGGGTTGCGCGCAGGCACGCACACCACCATTCCCCCCCCTGCCCACCGAAAGGGAGGACTTCAGCAGACCGGCCCCCGGCTGAAAAAGGTTGCCTACCCCTGCTCTAATATCATGCTCTAGTCCTTACATGCAAAGATACTTATGAGTCTGAAGTAATTTGTTAGATCTCCCTAAAGCTCCTGTAAAGTCTTATTAATGTCAATTAAAGATCAGTAGGCATATAGGACCAGTTGAAATCAGTGAAGACAGTGGGATTATAAGAATTTTTACTCAAAAATAAGCACCATTAATTTAAAATAATATATCATTGTGAATACACATACAAGACTGCTGCTTCCAAAAGGAACACAGTTCTGGAAAATAATCAAGATGATCATTTGTGGTGAAAAGTGGTAACTTTAAAATAACCTGGATGGAATGAAAAAATGGGGGGGGGGGGGGAAACACAAGACGCTTAAGACAGTATGCTTAAGTTATATGCCTATTGTGTAAGATTTTCAATGATTTTGCAACAACATTCAAAGAGAAGTAAATAGTTTGGAGCCTTTTTAAAGCATGAGAAAAAGTGATAACCCATTTTTTAATGCTACCTTGTATGGCAGATTCCAATATTAGAACAGTTCCAAAAGAAATGTACATTCATGTTTAAGGTCAACTACAAAGCAATATAGAAGAAATCAAATATTTTAAGATAGATTTTTCAACTTCAAGAGATTATATTTTGCACAGCATAGAATGGAAGACATTTTGGATAGGGAATGATAGAAAACTCTAACCTCTGCTAAGAATATTACCATAAGTGAGATTCACAGTCTTTATAATTGGCAAGCTGAGTGAAAGATTCAAACATCAGGAGCACTGAGCATTATACAAAGCTCATTCTCTTCCTGAAGAAGCTTAAAAGACTGATAAGACAAAAATGTTAAGTGTGGACCTTAGAAAAACAGATCTATTAACAAGTCACACAATTGGGTACATAAAACTGCTTAAATAAAACTTGCAGGCACAGGACTAAATGTGGAATATTAGTAAAATTTAAAATGGAAAAAAAACCTATCCACAAAATGAAGGAAACTGTGTAGACAAAAAAAAAAACAAAAAACAGGCACAATGTCATTTGGACAAGGCCTTTCATGAAGAATAGTTGCTTTTTTCAAAGGAAAAATTGAGATGATCCATGTAAAATTGGAAGAACAGAAGGTAGGCATCAAGACCAGAGAGATGAGAGAAAACATATTTCTATCATAAAAGTTGGATTTTTCCAGCACCTATGTGTTTTCAGTTCTCCTTGTGATAGGTCCAAAAGAAACGATGGCTGGTTTCCACAACTATGGGTCCAATCCTAAACATATTTACTAGGGAGGAACTCCTACTGAACAATACAGGCCCTTCCTATGAGTAACTATGCTTGGAGCTGCACTGTAAAGAAAAATTATGTAGATTTACCTGAGGATATTTTCCACTAAATTAAATTTCCATCAGAAATATTTCTTTCAGAACGTTTGTATGATACAACAACTACCTCCGCCCGAACAAGATAATATTGTAAAGTCTGTTTTTCAGAAGCCTGTAACTCCTTTATTGGAGCTGCTCTCAAGGCCTCGAAGCCAGCATTGTTAGAACAATCAGGAGTCAATGATTTCTTTGAAACTACGGGACAATGACAATCCTTGTCATGCTTCTTCTTACATTTTCTCTGTCATGTCATTGCTACATTTCAACCTCCAAGGACTTCAACCTCCAAGAGTTCACACTGAGCAGAAGAGCTGGCAGTAGGAACTGAAGTGTACTTGGAAGGACTCTGCAACTTCCATTTTGACAGAAGCAGATGGTCAAGAAAACAAGCCTACCCATACAAGTGTTCCTTCAAACACAATTCCCTGTTCATGTTGACTGAGGCATAAAGGTGGTTCAGTGGGCACAAAAGGCTTCACCTAGACCAGGGGTAGGCAACCTTTCCCCTTTAAGGGCCGAGGGACTTCAGATCCCAGAATCCCAGGAGCTATTGGCCAACATGGGACTATTGGCCAACATGGCTGAGGCTTCTGGGAGCTGAAGTCCCTTAAAGGGGAAAGGTTGCCTACCCCTGGCCTAGACAATCAAGACACTTCAGGTCCATCCCATCCCAGGATTTTTATGCTACAAGAGACACATACCCAGCAAACTCTGGAGCTGAATCAGCCAATGTATTAGCCAATGTAATGAGACTGGATAGAATGATGAACATGGTTCCTATCAATGCTGTTGTAGCAGTGGACAAAAAGGAACTGGCAGTTTCAGCAGAAAGGCCCATATAGAGGGTTGTTGGTGAGTAGGAGTACCTCCAAAATATTTGTTTAGAAACATTTTAGAAACTTCTGAAAGATGTTTCCAGCATAGGTGCAGGATAACACATTTGTGTGAGTCACAAAAACCACAAAGAAGAATAATACTTTTGTTCAATGTTAAAGGTTTATGATCAAGTCAATCAAGTCAACATTTTGTTTCTGCAGGAAACCCACAACAGAGACTCCAAACCCATTTTACCTGCAGTGCAATTTGGGGAGTAGTTTGTGGAAGATGGACAGGAAAAACAAATGAAGTTGCCATTGTCTTTGACAAAAAGACGCTGGGGTCAAGCAGACAACTTAGCCCCAGTCGCTCCCCATTCAGCGTGGGACCACAGCGACCAGCCACCGCGGTCTCAAGGCCAGCCATTGCTGTGGCCCTAAATGGGCCGCGAGCAAGAAGCATTTTTTTTTTACACTCCTTTTGCCAGCGGCCACAAGCCACCTTAGGCAGCCACAGTACACCTTTGGACTGATCTGGGGGTTTGCGTCTTCTGTACGTCATACCCCCGGATTGGCCTGAAGCCAGTGCTTTTGGCCCATGTGTTTTGGGCCTCTGTTTCAACAATGTGATACTTAAAAAGATGTTGAGGGGATGTTTATAACTGTCCAGGGAAAACTAATGGATTTGGTGGTTACACTAGGAAATTTCTATGCCCCCAA